AAGGATACTTCTTAAGTTTTCCTCTAGGATTTTTATAGTTTGAGATCTTATATTTAAGCCTTTAATCCATCTTGAGTTAGTTTTTGTATATGGTGAAAGGTAAGGTTCTGGTTTCATTCTTCAGCATATGGCTAGCCAGTTTATCCAGAAACATTTATTAAATAGGGAGTCCTTTCCTCATTACCGGTTTTTGTTGGCATTGTTGAAGATCCGATGGTTGTAGGGGTACAGTTTTATTTCTGAGTTTTGTATTTCATTTCTTTGGTCTATGTGTCATTTTCTATACCAGTGCCATGCCCTTTTGGTTACTGTAGCCTTATAGTATAGTGTGAAATTTGGTCATGTGATGCCTCTGGGTTTGTTCTTTTTGCTCAGAATTGCCTTGGCTATTTGGGTTCTTTTTTGATTTAGTATGAATTTTAGAATAGTTTTTCTAATTCTGTGAAGAAGGACACTGATAGTTTGATAGGAATAGCATTGAATCTTTAAATTGCTTTGAGCAGTATGGTCATTTAAACAATATTGATTCTTCCAATCCATGAGCATGGAATATTTTTCCACTTATTTGTTTCATTTCTGATTTCTTTCAGCAGTATTTTGTAGTTCTCCTTGTAAAGATCTTTCACCTCCTTCGTTATTCATTTTCTTTGTGGCTATTGTAAGTGGGATTGTGTTCTTGATTTGACACTCAGCCTGGACATTATGGGCGTATATAAATGCTACTGATTTTTGCACATTGATTTTGTATCCTGAAATCTTGCTAAAATCGTTTATCATTTCTAGCAGCCTTTTGTTGGAGTCTAGGGTTTTCTAAGTATAGATTCATATTGACAACGAAGAGAGATAGTTTGACTTCTTCTTTTCCTATTTTTCTTTTGCCTGATTGCTCTGACCAGGACTTCCAGTACTATGTTGAATAGGAGTGGTGAGAGTGGGCATCCTTGTCTTATTCCAATCCTCAAGGGGAATGGTTCCAGCTTTTTCCCATTCAGTAAGATATTGGCTATGGGTTTGTCATAGATGGCTCTTATTATTTTGAGTTTATCTTCCTTAGATGCCTAGTGTGTTGAGAGATTTTTTGTTTGTTTGTTTGTTTGTTTTCATAGACAGGGTCTCACTCTATCATCCAGGCTGGAGTGCAGGTGCGATCATTGCTCACTGCAACCTTGACATTCTGGGCCTGAGTGGTCTTCCCACCTCAGCCTCCTTAGTAGCTGGGACTACAGGCATGTGCCATGCCTGGTTAGTTTCTGTATTTTGAATTCTTTTTTTTTTTTAGACAGAGTTTCACTCTTGTCACCCAGGCTGGAGTGCAGTGGCTCAATCTCTGCTGCTTGCAACCTCTACTTCCTGGGTTCAGGCTATTCTCCTGCCTCAGCCTCCCAAGTAGCTGGGATTACAGACATGCACCACCACACCCAGCTAATTTTGCAGTTTTTAGTAGAGACGGGGTTTTGCCATGTTGGCCAGGCTGGTGTCAAACTCCTGACCTCAGGTGATCCACCCACCTCAGCCTCCCAAAGCACTGAGATTACAAGTATGAGCCACTTTGCTCGGCCTAGTTTTTGTATTTTTAGTAAAAACAAAGTCTCACTATGTTGTCTTGGCTGGCCTTTAACTCCTGTGCTTAAGCAATCTGCCCCTCTTGGCTTCCCAAAGTGCTAGAATTACAGGCATGAGCCACTGCATTTGGCCATGTTTAGGTGTTTATTATTATTATTAAGCAATGTTGAATTTTATCAGAAGTTTTTTTTTCTGTGTCCATTGAGATGATCTTATGGTTTTTTGCTTTTAATTCTATTTATATGGTAAATCACATTTATTGATTTAAGTATATTGAACCAATCTTGCATCCTAGGAATCAAGCCTACTTGATCGTGGTGAATTAACATTTTGATATGCTGGATTCAGTTTGTTGACGATTTTTGCATCTATGTTCATTAGGGATATTGGAGTGGAGTTTTCTTACTTCATTGTGTCTCTGCCCGATTTGGGTATTAGACTGATGCTGGCTTCATAGGATAAGTTAGGGAGGAGTGCCTTCTCCTCAATTTTTTGGAATAGTTTTGGTAGGATTGATACCAGTTCTTTGTACATCTGGTAGAATTTGGCTGTGAATCCATCTTGTCTAGGGTTTTTTTTTTTGGTTGATAGGTTTCTTATTACTGATTCAATTTCAGTGCTTGATATTGGTCTATTCAGAGTTTCAATCTCTTCCTGATTCAATCTTTGGAGATTGTGTGTTTCCAGGAATTTTTCTATTTCCTCCAGATTTTCTAATATGTGTGCATAGATTTGTTCATAGTATTCTCTGAGGAATGTTTGTTTGTCTTTGAGATCAGTTATAATGCCATCTTTATTTATTTATATATACATATACATCTGTATATGTGATCTATGTGTTTATGTGATCTATGTACTGTGATGTAAAATGTAAATTCTTACTGTAAGTCAAGATTTTTTTAATTAAAAAAGTTTTTTAAAAATTATTTTTATTTATTTATTTTTTGAGACAGGATCTCACTCTCTTGCCCAGGCTGGAGTGCAGTGGTGCAATCCTGGCTTACTGCAGCCTTGACTCCCTGGGCTCAGGTGATTCTCCCACTTCAGCCTCCCAAGTAACTGGGATTACAGGCTCCCTCCACCACACCTAGCTAATTTTTGTATTTTTAGTAGAGACAGGGTTTTCACTATATTGGCCAGGCTGGTCTTAAACTCCTGACCTCAAGTGATCTGCCTGCCTCAGCCTCCAAAAGTGCTAGGATTACAGGCATGAGCCACCATGCCCGGCCCTTCTCTTTTTAAATATAGCTAGCTGTCTATCAATCTTATTTATTTTCTTGAAAAAACAATTCTTGGTTTCACTGATCTTTTGTATGGATTTTTGCACCTCAATTTCATTCAGTTCTTCTCTAATTTTAGTTATATCTTTCCTTCTGTTAGTGTTTGGGTTAGTTTGTTCCTTTTTTGTTCTAATTCCTTTAGGTACAAAGTCAGATTGTTAATTTAAGATCTTTCTGATTTCTCGATGAAGGTGTTTAGGGCTCTAAACTTTCCTCCTAACACTACTTTAGCTGCATCCCAGAGATTTTGGTAAGTTGTATCCCTATTTTCATTAATTTAAAAGAGTTTTTAAAATTTCTGCCTTAATTTCTGCACTCATCCAGGAGTTATTCAGAAGCAAGTTGTTTAATTTCCACGTATTTATGTAGTTTTGAGAAATCTTCTTGATATTGATTTACATTTTTATTACACTGTACTTTGATAATGTGCTTGGTATGAGTTCAATAACTTATTTGAAGTTATTGAGACTTGCTTTAGGAATTAACATGTGATCTATGTTAGAATATGTTTCACATGTGGATGAGAAGAATATATATTCTATGGTTGTTGTATGGAGTTCTATAGATGTCTAGTAGGTCTAACTGGTCAAGTGCTGAGTTTAAGTCCAGAGTGTCTTTACTGGTTTTCTGCCTTGATGATCTAACATTGTCAGTGGGGTGCTGTTGTCTCTCACTTTTATTGTATGGTTGTCTAAGTCTTTTTGTAGGCCAAGAAGGACTTGTTGTATGAATCTGGGTGCTCCAATGTTGGGTGCAGTATATATTTAGGATAGTTAAATTTTCTTGTTGGATTGTATCCATTATTATTATATAATGCCCTTCATTATCCCCTTAATTTTTATTGGGTTAAAGTCTGTTTTAAAGATAGTGACTCCTGTTCTTTTTTGTTTTCCATTTGCATAGTATATCTTTCTTCATCTTAAGTCTACGGGAGCTACATGAGATAGGTCTTTCGAAGTAATAGATGGTTGGGTCTTGTCTTTTTATCCAGCATGCCCCTCTGTGCCTTTTAAGTGGGAAGATTTAGCCCATTTACATTTACAAGGTTAGTATTGATATGCGTGATTTTGATCCCATCCTCATGTTGTTAGCTGATTGTTATATAGATTTGATTGTGCAGTTGCTTTATAGTGCCTGTGGGCTATGTGCTTAAGTGTGCATTTTTTTTTTCTTTTTCTTTTTGTTTTGTGGCAGTAGGTGTTGTTCTTTTGATTCCATGTTTAGTATTCCCTTAAGAATCTCTTGTAAGACTGGTCTAGCTAAAACAAATTCCATCAGCATTTGCTTGCCTGAGAAGAATTTTAGCTCCCTTTCACTTATGAAGCCTAGTTTGCTTCACTTATAAAGCTTAGTTAGCTATGTGCTTAAGTGTGTTTTCTGTAGTAGCAGGTGTCATCCTTTTAATTCCATGTTTAGCACTCCCGTAAGGACTTCTTGTAAGGCTGGTCTAGTTTAAACAAATTCATTAAGCATTTGCTAGTCTGAGAATGATTTTATTTTTCCTTCACTTATGGAGCTTAGTTTGGCAGGATATGAAATTCTTGGTTGGAATTTCTTTGCTTTGAGAATGCCGAAAATAGGCCCCCAATCGCTTCTGACTTGTAAGGTTTCTGCTGAGAGGTCTGCTGCTGCCTAATAGGGTTCTTTCAGTTTATGATTTACCCTACTCTCTATTTGCCTTTAAGATACATATATTTTTTTGTTTGCATTGACCTTGATGAATCTGATGACTATGTGTCTTGGTGATGGTTGTCTTGTGTAGTATCTAGCCAAGATTCTCTATATTTGTCATATTTGCATATCAACCTCTGTAGCAAAATTGGAGAAATTTTTGTGGACTATATCCTCAAATATATTTTCCAAGGTGCTTATTCTCTCTCCTTTTCTCTCAGGAATACCAATGAATTGTAGATTTGATCTCTTTACATACTCTCATATGTTTTAGAGATTTTGTTCATTTTTCTTAATTCTTTTTTCTTTTCCTTTATCTGATTGAGCTGATTCAAGGAACCAGTCTTAGAGCTCTGAGAGTCTTTCCTCAGCTTGATCTATTCTGCTGTTGATATTTCTGATTGTAGTATGAAATTTTTGTAGTGAGTCTTTCAGCTCCAGAAGTTCAGTTTGGTTCTTTCTTAAAATGGCTATTTTGTCTTTCAGCTCTTGTATCATTTTACTGGATTTCCTGGATTGATGCGGCTTCAACTTTCTCATGAATCTCAATGAGCTTCCTTGCTATCCAGATTCTGAATTCTATGTCTGTCATTTCAGTCATTTCAGACTGAGCAAAAAACTATTGCTGGGGAACTAGTGGACTCATTTGGAGGTAAGGGGACACTGGCTTTTTAATTTGCTAGAGTTGTAACTAGTTCTTTCTCATCTGCAAGGCTTAGTGTTCCTTTAACTGTGGTGTAAGTTGATTATACTCAGTTGGCTTTGTTTCTGGATGTTTTCAGAGAGTCGGAGCTCTGTACAGGATCTTTATGTGTGGGTGAATTCTTGTGTTTGGTTTCACAGATGCATATATTAGTAAGATAATTTTTGGTGTTGCAGCTTAGGCTGTGATCCAGTAGATGATGGGGAAGAGTGATGGCCAATAGCTAGGCTAATAACCAGTCACACTACTCTTTTGTATTTCCTCATGTTGACAGGTGTGCTCTGCAGTCGGGGGTGGAGACAAATGCCCCCTTCACCAGGTCTGCTCATGAGCCTTGGGGGAGACCCTTTTGATCACCAGTTATGTGCCCATGTTTCTTTTGTTAGGTGTTCTGGGATGCAGGGCCCCCTCTGGGAAAGGTTGTAACAGGAAGATGTTCTTTACCGTTTCTGGATGGAACCTCATCCCTTGCCACACTCTGAGGGTTGGGGATCCTCCCTCACTCAAGTGCCAACCACAGATCTTGGCTTTGTATTCCTGAGCTGCTGTACTGTAGCCCTGGGGCACCAGGACATCCCATGGCTCTGTCAGAATCCATGGTTGGATTCTGGCTGCACTGGGGATCCTATGTGCTCCAGATCACCAAGAAAGTACTCAGGTGGAGGAATGCACTCAGGCTGGGCTGATGAGGCTGTGTTGTGCACCTGCTCCTGCAGGGTGGCTAGGCATGAGCCCTGGGAAGGGCTGGCATGTAGGAAGGCTTGCAGAACAGGTGTGCATCATTCCCAGGGAAACCAGCCCTGCTCTCTCCTGGCTGGAAGGTCAGCTGGGGCCAGTGCCTTCCAGAGGGGAATAGAGAGTCCTGGGGGATGACCACCTATGACTGCTCTCTGCTGGAGCTGTCCAGTGCACACAAACTCCTCAGCTCCAGGCTGTCTGAAGGCCTGTCTTTGCCTGTTAACTGGGGAGATCCCCCTCCAGCTCCCACATCCTTGTGTGATTCAGGGTCCCCTGTAGCTAGAATCCCAGAGGCTAGTGGCAAGAGTGAGGCATCCTTCAGTTCCCTCACTCACCCCTTTCCCAGGAACTGTTTGGGCCAGGAACTACCCCTAACAGCGTTTGGGTACCCCTGCAGGGTTCCCAGCTTCCTCCCTCTTCAGCCTCAGCTTCAGCATCACCTCTACCCACCCTTGGCTTTTTCTCTTTGAAGAGCTGCCCAAATTGTGGTGGCTTACTTGATAGTTTGGTCTCTCTCAGTGGGAGCAGCACTTCCTGGCTGCATGTAGTCGGCCATCTTGTTTCCCCCTCCTGCTGTTTTTGAAGAGTGCGCACCCTCCATCCAGCTGGGCAGCATCTGTCTGTCTTAGCAGCAGCAGCAGTAGCAGCAGGAGAAGGAAGACAGCAATGATGAGGCTGCCTACTGAGGACTTCCTATGGGAAGAACCCAAAGCTGCTCCCATCCCTGGCTGCTGAATTGGTCTACTGTGCCTGGCACCCCAAGCAGCCCTCCTTACAGCCTTGCAGCTGAGCCTCTTCCAGCCTCCCTCCTCTCCACTGCATGCTAAATAGATTTCTTCAAGGTCAGGTATAGTAAATTGTTGGAGTGGGATTGACACCTAGGTCTGCTTAGGCTGTAAAGCTACAACATGTAACCACTACATGATATGCTATCATTTCTAAAAGAGAATAAGTTTGAGGAAACTAAATATTCAATTCTTGAAGATAGAAAAAAATAACAAAACAAATAAAAGCAAGAAGGAAAAAAGTAGCTAAAGCAGAAATAAATACGTTGGAAATCAAACCCCAAAAAGTAGATGTTTTCTCTGCTTCTAAGAATGAGTCCTTGGAAAGGACTAATAGAACAGATAGTCCTCAGTGAAGATAAAGCAAGGCAAACAGAAGGGGAGGCCAACAGAAATGCAGAACACTAGTTAGGAGAGCATATGCACAGATTTTAGAAAATATTTAAAATTGTGAGTCTGTGATAGACAGCTCTATACTAACAAACCTGAAAATCTGGATGAAAGAGTACTTTTATGACAATGTCAGTGATCAAAATTAACAGAGGAAATTTTTTAGAAATTAAAATAGACCAACCAAGGAAGTAATGGAAAAAGTTTCAAAGAACTACCTAAAGGGGATGCCAGGACCAAAAAATTTTATGAAAAAATATTTCAAGTTTTTAGGACTAGATGTACTTTAAACTATTAAACTATTTCAGAAAGTAAAAGAAATGTCCAGCTTCTCATTGCTCTTTTTATAAAACCTAAGACAACCCAAATGAGATGGCAGACCATTCCTATTTGTGAATATAGATATAAAAGTCCTAAATAAAATGTTAGCAAACTCAATCCACTTATCTATTAAAAGAGATGCATACTGTGATCTAATGGGACTTAAAACAATAACAAAACATAGGTAGCTCAATTGTAAGAAAGGCACTAGTATATTTCTTCATTTTGACAAATCAAAAGAGGAAAGACACCTGATAGTAACAAAGAGCTAAACAAGTATTTAATAAACAACCACCCATTCTTGATGAAAATGCTGCCAAAATTATCATTGGTAATGTGTATTTCCTTAATATGATAAAAAAAATTATGTCTCAATATATTGGTCAATATTCTACATACCAGAAAACACTACAGGAATTTCCATTAATGTCTGGAAAGAGAAACGAAAATCCTGTATTGTCATCATGATTTACTAAGGTTCTAGAAACTTTAGTCAGTAAAATTAGAAAACAAAATGAAATAAGTGACCCAAATATTTGTAAATGAAGCAAGTTTGTTAATGTTCAGAGGTTACATGATTGAAAATTCAAAATAAACTACTGAATAGTTATTAGAATTAATATGAGATCTGCAAGTTTGCAAGTTATGAAGTAAATATACAAAAGTCACTTATGTATATGTAAAGACTAACCAATTAGAAAATATATTTTACAAATAATTCAATTCAAAATAGAAAAAATGTTCAGGAAAAATGTAATTAATCATATTTACAGCCCAAATGAAGAGTATAAAATGTTATTGAAGTCTGAAAAGAAAAATTGGAGGAATATAAAAACAAAACAACAATTAAAAAAAAAAGTCCCTGGATGGGAAGACTTTCTTGCCTAATTCATCTATAAATGCAAAGCAATTCCAATAAAAATTTCCACCAGACATTTTAGAACCTGATAAAATTACTTCACAATTACTAGCTGACAAAAAATTAAGCATAAATTTCTATTTTGTTCCTGCAAATAGAAAGTCTTTATTTTTCCTATCATAATTGTGACATGATTATTGTAAAAAGAAATCAAGTGTAGGAAATTACACAGAAAGGAAAGACTCCTTGTAAATATCATCCCCTAGCACCTTGCTGTACCTTCCCAAAAAGTTATTAATAGTTTGATTTTATTGATGCAAGTAAGTTATTTGTAAATAAAACTCAACTCCAGCTATTTTGTGGTTTTTCAGCTTTACAATATATTGCAGACTTATTTCCAAATCTATATACGTATCTATTTTATTTTTGTGATTGGCTGCATGGTATTTCATCATACAAATGTATCATAATATATTTAACAAAATCTCTCATTCATATACATTTAGAATTTTTTTCTCCTCTTTTACTGTTTTCTGAGTAGCTTTTTTTTTTTTTTTTTAGTCCATGCTATGTGCAAGGCAATAAGCTAAGTATCTCTCAGAATTATTTTCTTTAGCCTTCACGGTTGTTAGCATTGTTATCTCCAAGCCATAAAGGTGTTAAATACTTTGCTTAAGTTGTCCAGATACTAAGCAACAGATCTGGCATACAGGGCAAGGTCAATTTCAGAGTCTAAGCCTTTAAGCAGTATGTTTATAATCCTGCTTGTCCATCCTCCCAATTAACAATTATTAATCAACAACACTGTAGCTTTGTGCAGTTGACCTCTCATTTCATTCTGCAATGACATTGACTGAGTGCATCCTAAGTGTGAAGTCCTGCTCTGGGCACAGGGATTCCATGAGGAATGAGCTTTAGCCAGTCTCTCAAGAACAATGATGGGTGGACATGCCCTTATTTATCTGGGTGGAAACGCCTTTATTTATCTAGCTCCTTCTTGAGATTAACTATATAGCAGGCCTTTACCATATTGGAGGTAATATATACTGAGTGGGAAATCCCTTTTCTGACTTATCCTGTGCCCCAGGGGCCTGGATCTTGTTGAGGCCATCCTGATGCCCCACTCATGCCTGTGCACTGATGGTTAGGTTCTCCTTCCAGGATGCTGAAAGTTCAGTGGTCCCTGTGAGGGGCTTCTCCAAGGTCTCAAGGACTATTCTGAGGAGCAGCATTGAAAATCTTCCCTGATGACTCTTGACTTGTCTTCTACTCTGAGGTTAGTCCACTGTGGCTCCTTGTCACTCTGATGTTGGTTGGTTACCTGGAGTCCATCATTCTGTTGTCCTAGTTGAGATGGTTTCCTTGAGAACACTTCATATGTTGTTGGTCCTGGAAAAGTCTGTTGGAAAGGGCCTCTGAAACACTCGTCTGCCATTCATTCACTGAACATGCCGAATGCCCCTTCTTTGTGTCAACCCCCATCAAAGCTTTGGGGACCAAAAATTAATGAGACTATATCTATCTCTCCTCTCTAGGAGGTAACAGTATACAGGAAGAAAGATGACAGATATGAAACTAACTTCAACACAACTTGCTTAAATTACCAGTTGGGAAACTGAGGCCCAGAGACACTGTCTTCCTAGTCCTCTGTACAGTGTATAGTGACATACACAGAACTACTCCCAGCTGCAGATCCAATGGAATCCTATTAAAGATACTCCTTTTTTTTTGAGACAGGGTCTCATTGTTGCCCAGGCTGGAGTGCAGTGCTGTGATTTTGTCTCACTGCAACCTCCACCTCCCAGGCTCAAGCAATCTCTCCATCTCAGCCTCCTGAGTAGCTGGGACCACAAGCA